TGGGCGGGGGACCCGTGGAAGGCCCCCGATGCGCATGGCATCCAGATGGGTTTCGTCCGGAGAGGCTGGCCCGTTCTGCGGGAATGGATCACCCACCTCTTCAAGGCGTCGGTAAACCTCGGCCTATGCCCCACCCGCCTCAAAGCCTCCGACGCGCTTCCCACTCTAAAGCCGGCCAAAAAGGACAAAACCAGCCCGAAGTCCTACCGACCAGTGGAACACCACGGCGAAGCACTTGCGAAACCCCTGGAGCGCCTAGTCGCAAAACGAATATCTCACGAGGCGGAGACGCTAGGACACTTGCGGGAGGAGCAATTCAGAGGCAGGCCGGGGCGAAGCACACAACAGGCGGCGGACGCGTTTATCCACCAGGCACGGGTGAAGATGGACCAGGGAATGGTGGTGTCGACGATGTGCTTTGACCTGAAGGGGGCATTTAACGGGGTGAGCCATAGGGTGGTGGTGGAGGAGCTGGCGGCGCTCGGGTACTCGCGCGCCACTATTCTCTGGGTTCTATCATTCCTCGACGGCCACCGAGTGACGGTAGTGATTGATGGGAAGAGGACGATCACTTACCGTTGTACAGACCGCAGCGCCCCGCAAGGCTCAGCGCTATCTGTAATCCTCTTCCTGCTCATCATCAACCGCCTCCTCAAAAGGCTCGCCGCGCTCTCGCTGGTCGTGGAGAACCCGACGTGGATGGGGGGCTTTATCGACGACATAACGTTCTCGACGGCAAGTAAATCGATCCTCCAAAATGTAGCGACGCTGGAGCGGGCGGGGGAGGTGGCGAAGGAGTGGGAGGGGGAGGATGAGGCGCGGTTTGAGGAGGACAAGACGGACCTGCTGCACGCATGCAACGGCAGGAGGAGCTTCCTGGAGTTTGGGGTGCGCTTTGGGGGACATGTTGTCATGCCTGCACCATCGGTGAAATGGGTGGGGATGATACTGGACGAGCGCCTGAGTGGGAAGGCACATATCGCAGCCCAAGCGGCGTCGGCGGCCAGGACGCTCAATGCGTCCATCGCAGTCATGCATTCGACTTGGGGGATGAAGCCGATGCTGATCCGTGACCTGGTGCGCGCAACTGTTATCCCGTGTGCTGACTATGGAGTGGCGTCTTTCCTACCGCTGCCCCCCTCAGCGTTCAAAGCCCTCGACAAGCTCAACAAGTCGATGTGCAAGTTCGTCACCGGAGGGTACAAAACAGCTTTGCTGGCTGCTCTGGAGATAGAGGCCGCGCTGCTCCCGGTACAGCTGCGGGTGGAACGGCACGCCCTCAATGTCATATCGTTGAAACGTGTGCTCGGGAAACAGACCAAAATGCTACCTAATGCTAAAGACAACGAGCAGAATGCTTCGCAGGCTAAGCCTAATCCGAAGAATGGCTACACCAAACTAACAACCACTAACCAAATCTAACACCTTCACACCCCTTTCAAGGTCTATATTCGCCGACGAGTTGTGATTGCTTGTCCAAGATTACACGAATGTACTTCCAAGGACGAGGACCAGAGTTCGAGAGCAAGTTTGTTTGTTTGAATTGCGTGCTTAGCACAAGTTTTGGCTCGAATAAGAGTTGAACAGAGTTCTGAACGCCTTAGTCGCAGTTTGTTAGATTTTAAAGCCTCACAGCTATGTAGCGTCCGATTCTCTTTGTCTGGGTCAAGTCTGTGTTCTCTTTGTCTGAAACTCGCTATGTCTGGTATCTTTCTTTGTCTGGAACTCGCTTTGTCTGAAACTCTCTTTGTCTGGTAACACGGTGAGGTTGTGGGTTTTATGGGTTGACTTATAGTCCGAAATCTGATTCCAAAACGAAACTTGTTATTTATCAAACTAAACTCGTTATGTGAGTTAGCCTTAGTTGAACAAGCCCTAGAGTTCCCCTGGTACGCGGTGCTTTATTGCTACCTGCTCTTTTAGGGAGGATCCAGTGCCTATCCTACTAATTCTACCCTCCTTTTATATCTACTCAAAATGTATTACATGTGCGCTATTATGCTACTGCGGGTATCTATCCGAGAATTATTAAGTACAGTAGCGTCAGCTCAATACAGTTGTGCAGGCTCAAACATTATCCCAACCCCTAATAAGCTATTTAATTGCGGGACATGTTGTCAGATCGGTTCCTAATTCGATCGCCCGGTTGGTAAGCTCTTTGCCTTGAGCCTTGGGCCAGTATCTGGTAATGCCCCAGTGGTCGAAGCCTTATCCTGAGATGCTCAGAGCTCGGGCTTCTTGTGGACACCCCGAACTCCCAATTTGGTAAGTTAGTTCGCAAGTTAGACTCGCATCATCAATATCGTGCTTATTTATAAGTGACACTTGATCGGTGTATTGCCAAGACCCTTTGGCCGTTTAGCCGCCTTGGCTGGTATTGAATACCTTGTCTAAGGCATGGCCTGGTCATGTGACGAACGCGTCGCGTCTTGGTTGTAAACATTATTCAACAATCCGAAAGGTCCGTCTAAGGAGAAACTCCCTTAGACCAATAATCAACAGAGTGTGCCTTAGCTTATCCCTTAGTAAAGTAGAACCCCAAAGTGGCTTCTGAACCAATATTCAGCCTTGCCCAAGCGGTACCCGTCGTCAATCCCTTATCCAGTATGTGCAGTTTTCTGGTAAGTGAGTCGCGAACGAGTTGCGGCTTATAGCCTTGGTATGTCTTTTGACTAACCGTGCGGGATACACGTTAGTCCTCATTTTGGATCATGTGCGCGATTAAAACACCGAAAAACGCATATTTCGGCGTGTTTCGATTCACGGCTTATCATCGTCCTACCTTACCTTACCCCCCACCCACCGCCTACTCCAACTCACCGCCGACGCGATTGCAACACCACCGAAGAACGCCAAACTGGCCTCGATCTTACACATGGTCGAACAGATCCTGGGCGTGTGATGGCCTACAACAGTACCGGCGCGGGGCCAACGCATACGGCGTAGCGGAACCCCAAGAGTGGAGGCGGGGGAGCCGGATACGCTGTTTGACCCGACACTCGGGATGGAACCAATCGTCCCGGTGCATGCGCCACCTTGGAGTTGCCCCCTCCCGGTCACCACTCTAATCCCGGACAAGGACAACGCGTTGCGTGCACTGGAGATAGCGACGAATGACGAACGCGTGGGAGCGGCAACATGGTATACCGATGGTTCGCTGATGGAGGGAAGGGCGGGCGGGGCGGCGGTGCGAGTGGAGAGGGGGGGAGAGGCGGAGAGAATAGTGGTGCCGTTGGGGGAGGGGCAGGTGTGCGAAGGCGAAATGGAGGGCCTGGTGAGGGCGACGGAGAGGGTGTTGCGGGGGGGGAAACGCACATATCTTGTGTGTAGCGGACTCACAGGCAGCGCTGCGCGGCATTACGTCCACTGCACCGCGTTCGGGCCAGTACCGAGCAGTCCAGTACGACGAGATGGTGCGCGAGGCGCTGAAGGCGGTACCGCACCTCTCGATCGTTAACCTTTGGACCCCAGCACATATCGGAACTGCGGGGAACGAGCTGGCGGACGAGGCGGCGAAGTGTGCGACAGAGATGGAGCCGGACCCCTCGCTATATGTGTCCCTAACTACGGTGCGCCGCAAAATCCACCTGCAGGTTCTCAGCGAGTGGGACACGCGATGGAAACGATCCACCACCGGTGAACCGCTCCGCAAAATCGACCGCTCACCACCCTCATTGATCCCTCGACCCCTCTACGCCTCCGGCTCGCTATCGCGCGGACTGTCCTCCATCATCGCCCAAATCAGGACGGATGCATCGCCCCTCAATGCCTACAGACACAAAATAGGCGTGGTGGCTTCCCCGGCGTGTGAGGCGTGTGGGGCGGCAAAGGAAACACGTGCACACTACCTTCTCGAATGTCCGCTTTGGGAACCGCACCGACAACCGCTGCACAAGGCATGCAGGGAGGTTGGCTTTTTTGGCTCCCTTCATCTCTCCCCGCTCCTCTCCCACCCCAAACTGCTGAAGCCGCTGGCCGCGTTCGTGGAGGTTCAAGTGATACAGATACGTCTTAGTTTATTTTATCTTCTCTCTTTCTCTCTTTCTCTTCTCATACTACATGCTCATATAATACTAGAAACCACCCCCTCAAGTAGATACCACCATAATATACATAGCGACACCGAAAATCCCACAACGATGACAACATATAGCGACAACTTTACCACGATACGAATCTTTTCTTTCCTCTACCTATTTACCTACTTATAAAATTACGATACCAAACCCACCTCGTAGATACCAGAACCCCCTTTAGTGTACCGCTGTCGTAGCCCTTACAGGCCCACATACAGCTGAATATAATGACTGATGATGGTGATGAATGCATAACTACTTCGCTCCCACCCTTTTGAGGTGAGCTCGCCTTCCTGCGTCGCGGGGTCCTCGCCGCCCAGCGCTGTGTCGCTTGACTCGCTGGCTTGAAGGAAGGCGGAGGCGGAGGACGCGTCCCGGCCGAGCGCGTCCACGCCCGCGTCGCGCAGGGCCGCCGCGATGGCGACGCGGGCTCGTCTTCGCCGTAGGCGGAGATAGCGGAAGAGGAAGGGTGGGCACCGGGGGCCTGTCTCAGCTCAGCTGGAGGTAACGGTACGCGACAAACGCAGGGAACGTGTACCGCATCCATCTCGACATCCTCTTCTCCACCCTCGCTCGGACTCGACGACGCGGGGAACGGGCCAGGCGAGCTCGGCGCCGTGCTGCCCGGCACCGAGCTCCACAGACGCGAGGGCGGCGGCGAGGACCCGGGCGTGTCGCCGTCGACGGCCACGACACTGTTTCTGAGGATGTCCATTTGATTTGAAGTGTGTGAGGAGAGGAAGACAAGACAAGGTGGCGGTGATTGGTCAGGGACGCGCTCGTCACGGAGACGGGTGGGTGATGTCACAAAGTCATGATCGCCGCTGAGCCCCTATCTCTCATGTGCGAGAGAAGTTCTTACCATTCCACTCAGTCAGACTCAGTCCCACTCCCACACAAGACTTCCTACCCGCTCGTGATCACGGCTCGGTGGTACACCGGTTAGTGTATCTGCCATTCGTAATGGTAGAATAAATTTCTGCAGAAGACGCCTGTTCGACTCGGGCCCGGGCCATGGTCGTTTGTTATGCCTTTTTGGTTTACCTTGTTTACCTTTCGTAACAGAACTCTTTTCTCTCTCACCTGCCTGTCCCGAGCGAACCTTCGGGGCCGCTTACCAGTAAAGTTTTAGTATGCTGATGTACAGTATTGCTAAAGGCTTCCTCAGATGTTGGATTGGAAAAGACAACCAAGCCGGGCCGCAGTGAATACCGTAATTCGTTTCAATGAACTGCAAAACGGTCGGTGTACTCGACCTCGGAAGGTGAAAGAAGCAGGGCTCGGTGGTGCAGCGTCCACGCCCTCAATAAATATCAAGACATTTAAATTGGGGGGCACCCGTTCGATTCGGGTCCGCGCCATGTTCGGTGAATGCACGCTTTTTTGCTCCCACCTGTACCGCCAAGGCAGTTCGAATTCCAATAGTATTTATTCAGCCACAATGCTAGGCTAGGGAAATTCAACCAAGCCGGGCCGCAGTGAATAAATGCACTGAGGCTGACTGCAACTGTAATGAAATGTATTGCAGAAGGCGAGTGATGAGGCTCGGTAGCGGAGGCTCCACACCCACAAAATTGTTGTGAGGATTTGGTGGGAGCACCCGTTCGACTCGGGCCCGAGCCATGAGGAGTTACCACTGGCGTTTTTAAAAACTACGGAAAGTATCTATGTACCCTGTGCCTTGATACTGTAGTTGATTCCATGTGTTCAAGGCTCAAGCCCAAAACCAGATAGGAAAGGCTCGGTGGTGGACGGTTCACGCTCACAATAACTAGATAATTGTTGATGAGACATGGATACTTGCGAGAGGCGCCCGTTCGACTCGGGTCCGAGCCGTGACAGGATCAACCGTTCTTTTTTTTCGTCCAACTAACTTGAATCGATCTCAATTATCTGTAGAAGCGCCCACCCAAGCCGGGGCTGAGCCATTGTCCCATGTGGTGAAACCTTGTCTTTTCTTTTTTTCTTCTTTTCGCTTGTTGAGGTCCTCCTTATTCCCTCATGCGGTGTAACTAGTCAACAAGCTGTTGTTATAATATGTACGCGGGTCCAACCACAGCTTGGTCATACTGAAGAATTCACCTCCGTTGAAGTGTGAGTGTATACACCCATACGATGAGATGGGAAAGGCTTGGTGGTGGAGGGTCCATACCCATAGAACATCAGCATGAGGATTTTGTAGGAGCGCCTGTTCGACTCGGGTCCGAGCCATAGTGGCAACAAGATTTTTTTTTTTTTGTCACATGCCTGTCCTGAGCGAACCCCCGATGCAGCTTACCAGTAAAGCTTATCATGATGTATCGCTAAAGGTGTTCTCGAATGTTGGGTTGGAAAATCCAACCAAGCCGGGCTGCAGTGAAGACTTGCACTGAAAATTTAGATTAAATGCAAACTGTCCCAAGGGGGTGCAGTTTTGTGACTCAAATACATCATGCCGATTTCTAGTGTAAATGAGGTCTGGGAATCCGAATCTGATGTCCAAAAGTTGGCCCGGTCAATGGTTAAAAAGATATGGGCACTTTGATCAATTACCCTTTTGGGGTGATGGACTGCCTTATATAGTAATTTTATGACGTCATGATGACGTGGTTGGTTCAGTCCGGCGGACTTTTTTTTTCGAAAGTTACGCGGTTTGAGCCAATTCGTCCGAAAAAAAATACAAAAAAAAATAATTATTTTTTGGGAGGTAAAAGTGGCTGTATCTTTTGAACTACTGGCCGGGCCAACTTTTGGACTTCAGATTCGGATTCCCAGACCTCATTTACACTAGAATTCGGCATGATGTATTTGAGTCACAAAACTGCACCCCCTTGAACTGTCCACGTACTAGTCCGCCGGTCCATGCCCACAAAAGTTATAAGATGCATCCCGGAGATTTCGTGGGAGCCGCCCGTTCAACTCGGCTCCGAGCCATGCTTGGTCGGCACTGATACTTTTTTTTCCCCACCTGCCTGTCCTGAGCGAACCTTCGGGGTCGCTTACAAGTAAAGTTTAGCATGCCGATGTATCGCTAAAGGCTTTCTCGAATGTTGAGTTGCAAAAGTCGGCCAAGCCGGGCCGAAGTTAATACTGCGCTGAAAGTGAGTAGCTTAAATGCAAACTGTCCATGTACTAGTCCGCTCCAGGAATTAGTCACTTGTAGGGGGCCTAGTACTTAGGCATGCAGGCACTGCACTTATATAGCATTAATTTAGCCAAATAGCGATACCTGTCCCATATACATTCAAGTCGGGCCACTGTCCAAATCGAACTTTAAACATTGGTTTTTTCATGTGCCGACGTCAGAACGTAGTGAAGGCACATGTTGAGCCTTTAAATTAGAGTCAAAAAATGTCGCATTTCAATTAATGTCCCTTTAATATGAATTAAATCGGGTCTTAATCCAAGCCGGTAGTGGGCCATGCCACTCGCCGGCCTTACCACTTTAATCCAGGCAAAGAAGGGTTCACAAACGGGTTTTCACGCTGATAACCCAAATCCATTGCGGAAATCTACTAGTGCTTGAGTCCGGGCGCGCAGGCGTTGCTGGTGGTATGCGGAATCAAAAGAAGTTTTCCAACGCCAAGTATCTCCGCGATCCTGCCCCTCAATATCCTGCTCCGGGGCCGACCTCCCTGACTTTCTGATGAGAATTTCATTACGGCGCGGATATCCGACCATTTCACCACCATCCTCTTCCCGACACTGCGGTGGCCCAAGCGTTTTTGTGACCGAAAAATTGGCTGCGAACGGGTCTTATAGTTTGGCTGCATTTAGGAACACGGTTTAACACACTGAATTTTTGGGATCATTTTCAACTCTCAAATTCACGCCGAAAATGCGAGCTCTTCAGGTCTTCAACACTCCGACAAAAATTCAATATCTTTGACTTCTTTCGGGATTAGAAAAATAGGTTTTTTTGAGCCCCAAAAATCGGAGTTCCTCCTTTCAATGTTCTGCCCCCAAAGATGTCATTTTTGTGTTGCCAAAGAAATCTCAAACATCACACATCTTTGTCCCTGCCTTTTTGAGGGTAACAATCATCATGTTTGGGCGATGTTTGAATTCCAAAAATCTCTTCTTTTTGTTCACATGTTCCGGGCAGCGGGAAAAATGTACTCAAACGGGAAGACCCGTTTACACCTCATTTTTGGAACCCCAAAAGCCATGACCCACCGCAGTGCGAGAGACATACACGTGTCTTTGGTGGCATGGACTTATCTCAGCGGGACCGTGCCGTGTAAGACTACCTACCTACCTACCTGGCGGAAAGCTTGCTGCGCGCTATCTCAAATGGCATTGATCCTCGAAGGAGATGATCTGCGGGAGATGTAGATTGTCGACCTTGATCTTCTTAACTGCGGGAGCACAGGCTCATCGCTGAAAGTGTGCACAGCTGAGCAAGATGTTTTGGTCGTGCGTTATGGCCCTCCCTTACTCTCTGCGTCCGGCACAGTCCACGTCTGAAAGTACTTGCGTTGAAGTAGACAGTGTTTCCATGATCTCGGGGACTCTCAAGTTGGAAATTGGTGCCAGGCTCCCCGATGCCAGAAGATGGATCTCACTCCTATGATCTATCAATCTGGAAGCGATGGGCTTCACTTCTATTCCCCCTGATCTTTATCCGCGACGCACATTACTGTCTGCGAGGGGGTCCAAAGATAAGAATAGCTGACACAGTGGGGGTGACCAGAATACTGTACCATTTCGACCAAAGGTTCAGGTGACGGGTGACAGAGGGTCATGAACTGAACAATTTTGACCCAGGTGACGGGTGACAGACACTTTCCTGTCCCAATTAGGCTAAAAAATGCGAAAAATTTCGGTCCGGCAGAAGCCGGACTGCTATTTATGGTAATTTTTGTGTGATCGCCGATCAATGAACATCTTATCCAGTGAGCAATTGCGGTGACGGGTGACACCCCGTGAACCTTTGGTCGAAATGGTACAGTAGCTCCCAAAAGGAGGTTTAGCAGAGACTGACAAGCCAGCCGGTCTCGTTTCGGCTTCTTCCGGCCCATCATCTTGGCAAGGGGCACGGCGAACAATGATTGATTTCGGCATCCGTCAAGAGCGCGCGGAATTCTCAATTAAAAGCAAACTAAAAGGATATTTTTGCCTCCACACCACTCTCAAGTGTTCAAACCACCTTTGTATTCACCCAACCTCCATATGGGGCGAATATTCCTCACGAACAACCTGAGCACTGATTGCAGAACCAACTATTCATTAGAGTTGTACTGAGCCCAACACAGCTGAGGTGGGACTTTAATTGCCTTCTGACTGCATATTCAAGAAAGGATCATACATTCAAATGGCAGCCGGCCTGCGCCTCGCGGCATTGAACTATTTCCGCATCGTGTTCTGTGCAGTCGGGTTCGGCACATGTATTCCGCATTAGGTTCCGCACCCGTTCAAAGAGGTGTTCATAATTGAACATCAATTTTGAGTTGTCCGACATACTGAAGGCAAAAGAGTGGGCTCAGGATGACTTGGCGGAAAGAAGGGCAGAAATCGAAGGATCATTGTCAACCATCAGTGGCAATCACCCGAGAAAAAAAACAGGTTTTAACTTTGTTTTCTGCGTTGTCGTGGTGGTTTATATGTTCCTCTACATGACATTGAACTCCAACTTCATTGTAACTGATGCTATACCGCATGTGCGAGATTTTTTTTTTGGCCGTGGCGGCTCCGGATCACCCACAAAAGGCAATTTCCCACGGGAGGGGGGAGGGGGGTCCCTCGAAGTCAAAAAAAAAAACTTTTGTAGGTTTTCTCTTATCTTTGGATCCCCTTGACTGTCTGCGATTTCCCTTTCAATATGAGGGTTACATTGACAATGCCCGGAAGCATCGCAGTCATTGACCCTTGCTGTAGAGGCTCTCTCCGCTCCAACTCCTCTGTCTGTCATCTCGATGCGATCTCGTGGGAACGACCGTTCACTTTCTGAAGGACCAAGCTGTCCTCTCCGAAAACTTGCGGCTTGACTTGGCATACAGGGATTCACTAAATATGTATGGACGTTTCCAGCCACGGGGACTCGGCAAATTCCGACTTCAGGAACAGCATCTGGATTCTGCAAGGGAGATGATCATCCTTCACAGCTAAATTCGTCGTGGGACCAGCTCCAGGCATACTTAATAAACCATCCATTCCTTGATAAGCCCATCAGAGACCTCACCATGGATATTACTGGTGCTGCCCCACCTGGTTTCCACGTTGTAGAGTTGTGAGTCACAGCCATCTCGTATCCGTGTCATATTTCACCCTACTGTACGCGAAGCTCGGGGCCACTGGTAAGAAATGCATCGTTTGCCCAGTACTGTGACATCTGAGGTTGTGCGGCGGCTAGGTAATTGGGGCCCTCTTGAATTGGGGACTCTACGGTACCCTGTCCATTCAACTCTGTAGGCGTTCACATCTCGTATCTAGTCCTGCTCACTGCTCATTCATTTTTTTTTCAAGATATTTACTACCTCGCTTTCCCAACCGACAGAAGATGGAACAAGTGCCTGGTCTACATCGTCTACTCGATCGAAATGGCACAGACCATATTGATGACCCATGACGTATTCGCGACGTTCGGATACGGTTTCAGTGACATTTCAGCTCTGGCCGAGCTTCGCTTTTACGCCTTGACAATTCCCATCATGGGTGGCTTGGGTATTTCGAGCTCATATACTTCCTGAAATTCAATTTTGAACCTGTCACAGTGTCTTTCATCGGCGTTCTACGCTTACCGGATATATGTGATATCCGCATCCGGGAAGCTGATTCCTGCCTTCATTATCATCGTCCGTAGCCCTAGTCTTCATCCCGAAACCTGATATTGACAGTATTGGACAGCTCTCTCTAAC